GTCAAGGCCCTGGTGGTGTTTCTTCGCCCTCCTGGAAGATCAGGGATGGAGGAGGGAGGGCTGAGGGAGGAGGGAGGAGGAGGGGGGAGGAGAAAGGAGGGAGGCGGGAGGCAGGAGGGAGGAGGGAGTGAGGGACGAGGCGCAGCCCGCTGCGCGCAGACGCCGCGCGGGAGCGGTTGTCTGTTCCCTGACCCAAGAAGGCTAACACTTTTTTGGGGTCTGCGGGTCGAGAGCGAGCCTCTTCCGGTTAAGAGCTAGGCGGGCCGCGCAAAGCACTAATTGGGGAGACACGAAGAGGGCTAAAACAGGAGAGCAATCAAAGGCGTGAGTCTACTTTCTCGGAGGTCCACGCGGATTTCTTGGACTGTCGCTGGTCTCCCCATCCTTGCCGCGAGGGGCGCGCCAGGGGCGCCGCTGGAGGCGCCGCCAAGGGGGCCCAACGCCGATCCAAGAGACCTGCGCGGATTTCAAAGAAACTATGATTATCAAAACAAATACAACGACCTTCACATCAAAGTTCCAAGTTCCAATTTGAGGTTTTTATGGGAGGTGCTCTGGTTGCGAGCTCTGGGGCACGCGGCCCGGCAGCTTCTCGCAGGGCGCCGCTCACGGCGACGGGGCGACCGACACCCGACCCCAGACCCCCTCGCGCACAGTGACAACATCGCGACGGGACTTTGCTGGCAATCTTCCTGCCTCTGAAGGCCCTTTGTCAGGCCGACGTTGGCAGCAAACGGGTCGCCTCGATTCTTTCGAGGAGGCGCCAGATGTTGGCGGGGATGTCGACGTCTTCGCTCCCTCGTTCGCTCGAAGAGCAGATCACGCGAGTGATGCTGCAGGGACAGGCCCGCTCGTCAGCTCGGTTCGCTCGGTCCGGTCGAGCGGACTGGGCACGCGAACGGAGCGGGCGTCTCGGTGCTGTGGTGTCGTCGTCGTCGCCGTCTCTTGCTCGTCCAACTCCCATGACAGCGACCTCCTCGCGTCGTGAAACCAATTCCCGGCGGCAATGATGTGGCATTAGCCTGCCTCTGGAGGCCCTCACCAGGCCCTGGGACCGTCAAAAATTACGGAGGATAAAAACCGATCCCTGGGAAGTCGCCAACTTCTGGGGGGTCTGGTGCTCAGAAATCGCGACGTCGGATGCCTGGGTCCTCATCCTCCCGAAGACGGAATATTGTCATGCCCGAAGTGAGCACGGGAAAACTGGGCATGATGCCCACTAGCAAATTCTGCTCCAAAGCGACAGCGGCCATGGTTGGGCAGGCGGCCATCTGTCTCAAATGGACAGCGCCCACGGCGGCACCGACAGCGAACTCTGTTCAAAATGCGCAAGAGCTGCTAAGCCTCTGTTCCCATTCTGTGAACCAAGATGAGGACGAAACAACGCACGCCAGAGCGGAGTATGAGGAGGAAGGCGATAACGAGGAGACGGAGCGCGAGGAGAGACTGTACGATGAAAAGGAGTAGAAGAAAGGAGGAGGCACTGGAGAAGGAGGATGAAGAGGAGGAGGAGGAGGAGGAGGAGGAGGAGCAATGGAGCAATGGCCGAGGGCGCAGAAGGGGATCCCGACTGAGCCTCGGAGGAAGCGCCGATGGGTGCGGACGAGCGCCCGAACTGCTGGCCACAGCTAGTCCGAGTCACCAGACTCGGGCAGTGGCTGCAGCACGGGGGCCGAGGGGGAGAGGGGAGCCGAAGGCGCGGGCCTGCTCAGCGCCGCAGCATCGGCTCGCGGCACAGGGCTCCGACCCTCCTTCTCCTCGACCCCACGAGCGACCCCGACCCCCCCATCCGCCACCCCCGTCCCGACGACAGTGAGCGTCTGCACGGCGGCCTCAGGGGCAATCGGGGCCAGCATCAGCGGGCCGAGCGCCTCCCCCGTCTTGGGGTGGCGGCCGCGCTGGGCCTGCTGCAACATTCGCTGGACTCTCTCACTTCGCGCACCACCCCAACCCGCTCCCGACCGAACTCCATCCTCCCTGACGATGCACGCGCGCTTGAGGCCCACAGAAAACCTCTGCGGGCGCACGGCGTGGGCCCCGCAGCGCGTGCAAATCAGCACACGGTCGCATTCCTGGACCAGGTGTCCAGGACCAACGTCCTGGGGATCACACAGACGGGAGGAGAGGGACTTCAGGGAGGACGGTGTCGAGGCCTGGCGCCAACAAACAGTGCACCCGATCGCGCCAGCAGGAAACAGGGCGAACGCGTGGGTGGTCGGCTTGCGCTGGCGGGGGGCTTTAGGGGCAGGCGGTAGCGAAGCCGATGCTGCGGTTCTGGCGGCCGCCTCCCGCTCCTGGGCACGGGCGAAGGTCGCTTGCACTCCGTGCGTCTGTGGGAAGGCCCCTGGCCCACGTGGTGGCTGCCCGACATCAGCAGGCGGCGGCAATGGCAAACTGGCAACATACTGCACGCGGTGTGCCCAGTCGGTGTTGAGGACTTGGGGCAAGCGAGTGCTCTCTCCACGCCTCACAGGGAACGCAGGCGCTGGTCTGGCCACGGCGGGCCTAGGCCACGAGCAAGTTCCACGACACAGACCCAAGGAACGGCCCGAAGACACGAGCCCCTTCTGAGCCCAAAGCGCTCCTCACTTCAGCGCCTCGCCTGCACCGCTAGCCCGCCCACCGCAACCCGCCAGTCCAAGAGATGGCCCCACCCTCCGCGCTCGCGCGGGCCTCCCCGCGCCACTCGACCCTGCGCCTGCGCACGGAGGCCTCCCCACGGCAACCCGCCGCCCTGCCCGGACACGACGCCCCCCTGCCGCCGAAGACGTGTGCCCCACCCCGCTGCCCGCGCGGCTGCGCTCCCGTGCCCCGTCCTCCTCGACCTCCTCGTCCTCGTCCTCGTCCTCCTCGTCCTCCCCCCTCCTCCCCCTCCTCCTCCTCCTCTTCCTCCTCCTCCCCCTCCTCCTCCTCCTCCTCCTCCTCCTCCTCTCCTCCTCCTCCTCCTCGCCTCCTCCTCCTCCTCCTCCTCCTCCTCCTCCTCCTCCTCCTCCTCCTCCTTCATGGCGGAGGCGGGTGGTCGCCTCCGCCACGAATGGGGCCCATGCCCTCGACAGGCGGTCCGCTTGGCCATTTCCACCCTCGAGGGGAGGGCCCGCGCACGCGGGTCCAGCATCCGTGGTCCAGCGCACGGGGAGGCCCGCGGACCACGGATGCTGGTCCAGCATTCGTGGTCCAGCATCCGTGGTCCAGCGCACCCAACGCCCATCCCGCCGAATACTCCACCCCGCCGCGCGCGTAGGCTTCTTCCTAACGCCCCTCGTCCTTGACAGGTCACGACGCCCTCCCGATCCTCTCGCGCTGGCGCTCCGCACCAAGAGCTTGTCGGCCGAGCTGTGGAGGAGGAGGAGTGCTGGAGAGATGAGGAGCGAGTGAAGGACCTCCACTCCATCCTCATCCCTCCCCCCTCTCCTCGCCCGAAGGATCGGGGCGCGCTGCGAGCCGCGCGTCGTCGACCCGCTGGCTCTGGTCCATCGGGCCCAAGGCGTCCGCGTCGACGAGATTGAAATCCTGGGGGTCGGAGTCAGCAAACACGACAAGACGAGGTGGGCGCCGACACCGCTTCACGCGCATGCCAGGAACGTCTCCCGCGGACGTGGACGGGGTTCATACCTCAGGGGGGCCACGCTCTGACAAACAAAAAACACGACGTCAGAGCTCTGGGTGCAGGAATGAGGAATTGGCTCGTGCCGTGGCGGCCTCGGCGCTGGCCTCTGACGCAACGCTGAGCGTCCGCGGCTTCCAGACATCGAAGCTCGTCCGATATCGACCGATGCTGGGCCACTGCTGGAGGGAAAAGAACTCTAACCATGATCAAGAACGGACGCGAAAACGTCTGTGCCGATCTTGATCACCGTCCACCTTGGTCATCGTCAATCCGTGGATCATCCTGGCGAACACGGCGACGGCACACAGGAGCCACCCCGCAAATGATTATTGTCGGCCCAATGCCGCTGCGGACCGCAGAGAAATCGCTTCGCAACTCCCACGGGGATTGCCAGGTCCCAGTCCCAGGGATGTGATGTCAGCAGAGGGAGCGCGGAGGGAAGGAGCCCAGGTCATGCCGAAGGGGCCCAAGCGCAACCCCGCCAGAAATTGCACGGCACGCCCAAGAACAGAACAGGCCTCTTCGGTGCCCCTTATCGGCCTAGAGGAATAAAAACCGCCACCGCCAGGGGGGGCCAGCGCAGATCCAAGAAATCTGAGCGGAGCGCCAAACATATACGTTTACACGGTTTTTTCCGCCTTCGGCGAAAACAGAATAAGCCTCTTCGGTGTACCTCCTTGTCGATCTCTGATCCTCCTCGATCCCCCCCCCCTCCTCGATCCCTCTCCTCCCCGACCCCCCACCAGAGCAGCGGGCAGGGACCAGTAACAGCAGGAACCCCCACACCCCTTCCCTAGTGAGAGGGGGGAAGCGATAAGGGGGGCGGGCTCACGGGGAGCGACACATTGCCTTGGAATCGACGATACATCGTCGCCGTCGTCGCCGTCGTCGTCGTCGTCGTCGTCGTCGTCGTCGTCTTCTCCTCGTTGCCCTCCCCCTCTTCCTCCTTTTCCTCCTCCTCCTCCTCTTCCTCCTCGGCTTCCTCCTCCCCCTACTCCGCCTCACTTTCCTCCTCCTCCTCGTCCTCCTCCTCGTCCTCCTCCTCCCCCTGCTCCGCCTCACTTTCCTCCTCCTCCTCCTCCTCCCTCTCCTCCTCCCTCTCCTCGGCTCCCTCTCGGCTCGGGGCCGCGCGTGGAGAGAGCGGGGAGGAGGAGAGCGAGGAAGAGGAGGTGGTGGAGGGGGGAGGCTCGGGAGGCTGCGACGGGAGGAGGACGAGGAGCGGGGACGAGACCCTTCGGGGGATTCGCGGCGGCAAGCGAGGAGGGGGGCGAAAGCGAGAAGGGGCGGGCCTTCTCAGAAGGCTCGAAGCCCCCCGGCCTTCAGAGAAGCTCTCTGAGCCTTCCCCGAAGACACCGAACACTTCTCAGAAGGCGCGGGTGCTTCTGAGAAGTCCCGAAGCCTTCTGAGACGGCCTTCTCCCTGTCACGTCCCCACCTGGCTCGCCGCCGAGATGGGGAGCGGGGATGAGGCTCTTCGGGGGATTTGTCGGGGTCGAAGGGTCCTGCAACTGGAGCTCTTCTCGGGGTGAGCCTGCAACTTGAATGCCGTGCCTTGTGTCTGTCCAGTCCGAATCAAACTGCAGAGCGATCTCGTATTGTAATCCTACCCGCAGGCCGCTCAGACAAGCCACATCACGGTGGCAACGATGCTGCCAAGAACGCAATCTTCGGGCCACAGCTCTCAAAGTACTTTCGCACTGCCGCTAAAGCGCCAGACTGGAGCTCCTCTGGCGCCTCGCGGCCAGAAGCAAAGCGCATGAGAGACATGTCATCACACTGCATAAGCCTGTCGAGGGCGCGCATGCCCTCATCATCGAGCTGGTCGGCAAACGGGCTATCGAAGAAACCGACCAGGAATTCGGAAGCCTCGGCCCAACCGCGGCCGCGCGCTCGGTGCCGCAGTCGCTTCCTGATTACGCCTGCAGGCTCTTGCCGCGGAGCATCCACGCTCACCTGCCGCCGTGCTCGCTCCTTCTCCTCGCGGCAGGGGTGGGCAACCGCACCAGTCGTGTCTTCTGCAGCACCAGCAGCGCTGTGACGTGACGTCTCCCCATCACGCGTGGCACCGCCTCCGGGGACAACAAGTGGCCTGGATGGAACCCCGCTGGCACAAGGCCGATTTGCAGCCCATCCAGCACCTCGCAACGCCAACAGCATGCCATCCTGGGCATGCCGACGGCAAGCCAGTCCAACGCAACTCCACATTTCCGAGTCTCGGCAACGAACTCGAAACTCGGACGGTCACGCTTGAGCCAAAATGGCTACGTAAACTTCAACGGCACTCCGTGGGACCTCTAGGGGCTGTTCTGTAGGGTCTGGGGGCCTCTTCGGGGGGGGAGGGGCTTTGGGGAAATCCATCGAATTTTTGTCGGGTCATGCTGAGGCGGTCTAGCGAGCTTCCTGGGTCGTCTGGGACGCTTCGACTACATAGCGGGCGACTGCGCTCGAACCTTGCCGAACGCACTGTACTTGAAAGAGTTCGGCCTCTTCGGTTTGTCCTGGGGGAGCCTCTTGGGGGCCTCTTCTGCAACCCCGTGCACGGCGACAACAAAACCGATCACCGATCGAACCGACCACGAGCGAAACCGAAACCGACCGACATCGACAAGCCGACAGCAGCCTTAACAAAACGCAGCGACGCGGCAACGACACGATTACTAGAAGAGCGCGCTCCACTACTCACAAAGTGACTGCTCGCAAATGGCCTGGATCCCCGGCGCAGGCTCTACGATACACTGCATCGAAGCAGATCTGTGTTCTTCGGGCGTTTGCGAGTTGGCACTTTGCGAGTGGTGGAACGCGCTCGGTGAAGCCTTGCTCTGGGCCCCGCGCGGCGCTTCGTGGGCCCTGCCAGGCCATGCCGGGCCTTCGCGGCCCTCTCGGGCGCCTCTCGGGACGCCTCTCTCCTCGGGCCTGCATGGGGGCCCCGCGGAGCCGCGCGGGCCGCTTCCGGCAGCATCTTCACCCAAGAAGCGCTTCCATCCCCTGCTCGCCATCGCTCGGACGTCCCTTTCCCGTGCATGTCTCGGTACCGTGCGCGCATTTTCCCGCAGGAGGACTTCAGAGGCCCCTCGATGGTCATCGCCGAGAAAAAAAAACGCACACGTCCGAGCAATGCCATCCCTTGGGGGGCGCATCTCTGCCTTCCGCCGCCCTCCGCCGAGCTGCCGCCGGCGGAGGCGGCCTCGCTCTGCTTCCGCCGACCTTCCGCCGCCGGCCGCCGAGGACTGGTGGCAGCTCCCTTCGGTCTTCGAGGGCAGGGCCCTCCGCGGAGCGCCCCATCGGGAGGCGCGCACGAGGCACGGAAGACTTCACGGCGGCCGCATGGCTTCCTCGAGTTGTTGGCTGGATCTGGCCAGGCTGCTGAGTGGCTTGAGAAGCTGACTGAAGCTCTCATTCTTTGGCGCCCCCGATGTCTCTAGAGGCCCCCCCCACAGAGACACATACACACACGGACGGACACACACACACAGACGCAGACGCAGGCACACACACACATACACACTTTTAGCTTCGCGGCCAGTTGGTCCATCGCAGCGAGGGTAACAACGGTAGGCACGACAAATGCCGAAGGCCATGAACGCGGAAGACGAGACACGCAAAGCAAAGGACAGAGGCAGGGCGCGTGACAGCAACAAACACACTACACGCGACACGCTCAGGAGCGCGAGACAGCTGAGAAAGAGGAAGAGAGAGAGAGAGAGAGAGAGAACGAAAGAGAGAAAGAGAGAAAGAGAGAGAGAGAGAGAGAGAGAGAGAATGCAAGAGGAGCGCAGCTGCGGCGAGGGTGCCCGACAGAAAGCGCAGGCGCACGAGGCAGAGCGGGACGGCCAGCAGGTGGCGACACGAGTGACGGCGGCGCCTGCAGTGGCCATTCCCCACCACGCGAAGGTGCACCGAGGAGGGAGCACGGGGAGGAGGGGGAGGAGGACGAGGAGCAGGAGGAGGAGAGCGATGCACGACGGCGGGGAACACATAATAACCTGCACGCAGACACACACACACACACTCAGGCACAGTCTCACTTTTTTGGGCGTTGCGGCCACGCGCGCGGCGTCGCAGCGTAGACAGGTTCGAGAAAGGAATGAAGACCAAATACACGCACACACACACACGCACACACACACACACGCGCACACGCGCGCACGCACGCACACACGCACGCACGCACACACACAAACACACACACACAAACACACACAAACACACATACACAAACACACACAAACACACACAAACACACAAACACACACACAAACCCACATACACAAACCCACACACACATACACAAACACACACACACAAACACACACACAAACACACACACACTCACACACAAACACACACACACACACACTCACACACAAACACACACACATACACACAATCACACACACACACTCACACACATTCACACACTCACACACTCACACACCCACACACTCACACACTCACACACTCACATATTCTCACATTCACACATTCACACATTCACACACTCACACATTCACACATACACACATTCACATATTCACACATTCACACATTCACATATTCACACATTCACACACCCTCACACACCCTCACACACCGTCACACACCGTCACACACCCTCACACACCCTCACACACCTTCACACACCCTCACACACCCTCACACACACACACCCTCACAGACACTCACACAGACATACCAGGTCGTAGGCACAGAGACACACACACAAACATACACACACACGCACCAACAGAGCCTCGATCAGGGACCCTCCTGGATTCCAAACGCCTCGCCCCTCTCTCCTCGCTCCTCCTCCTCCTCCTCCTCGCCCTCCTCCTCTCGCCTCGCTCCTCTCTCCTCGCTCCTCCTCCTCCTCCTCCTCGCCCACTTGCCCGACGCCGGCCTCCACCGCACCCCTCCCCTCTCTGCCACCCCTCCCGGCGCCTCGCAGCGCGGCTCCCCTCGGGAGGCAGCCAGGGACCCGGTCCAGGCCGGGGAGGGGGCGCAGGAGGAGGCAGGAGGGGGCGAGGCAGGAGGAGGGGCGGGCGAGTGGCACAGAGAGGATCGGGGATCGGGAAGGGAGGGTCGCAAAGGGAAGAAGGAAGGGAGGGAGGAGCGAGGGAGGGAGGGGGAGGGAGGGCGAGGGAGGGTGGAGCAGGGAGGAACTGGGGGTGAGGGAGGAGGGATGCGGCCGGGAAGGAGGAGGGAGGAGAGAGGGAGGAGGGCGGCGCGGGGATAGAATCGGGTGAGGATGAGTCGGGGATCTCTAGGATCCGGCGGCTCTGGAGGATATCTCGGGCACCGCGACCTTCTCAGTGCGTTCCAGAACGTACTGGAACGGATTTATCCTCGTCCTAGCCCAGTCCGAAATAAGGTGGGAGAAGTACGGCCAGACCTAAGACAGAATCACATCCTTCAAGAACATGAGGCCCTCCGCAGGCCAAACTAAAAAACAAACGACGGTGCCCTCCCCCAGGATGCATAATAACGCTCCGCAAACACGAAGAACATCAGGGTTTCCTCCCCGAGCCGAACTTGATATTACACCTCGGTCCGACGTACAAGCATTAGCAGAAGGATGAGTTCAGAGAGGTAAGACGAGGTAAGAGGAAGAGGAGGGGGAGGCGGGGAAGACGAAGTCGAGTCTGATAAGGACGAGCTGTGGTGGTGGTGATGTCGGAGTAGGGAGGAGGGGTGAAGGGAAGGGGTGGAGGAAGGAGGAGGCAGATGTGGGGATATGTCGAACCCTATCCCCGACTTTGTGGGATCCTCGATAGCGGTGTTTCCGAATAGCCCCCCCCCCTGGGGGCGTACCACTGAAGTTCCCTTCATTTCCGGGCGGCTCGAATTCTTGTGGACAAGTCGGGAAGTTGGGGCGACAAATCGCTTGCGACCTAGGCAGAGGATCGCGGGCGAAAAAAATGTGCGTATTCGCGGCCTCGCGGGCCAAGCCCTTGGGCCGCGACCCCGCGGACACAAGGCGTTTTGTTCGCGGGTGCCCCGCGCAGAACGCATCCGCGCATCCGTGCGACCGCGTATCCGCATGATCGCGCCCCGTAGTCTAGACCGCGATGGCGTGACTATCGGATATGGATACAATGGAGGCCCGACCACAAGAACACTTCCACAAGAAACCCAACCCTGAGACCCCAGGACGTCCATTGAATTTTGGTGTAGGAATGTCGCGCTTCCGATAGAGAAAACAAGCGGAACCCAAGAAGCAGGAGGCACCCTGGAGGCAAGCAAGGTGCTTTTTGGCATGTGTCTCCACCGTACGCTCGCCACTCGCGAGAGAATAGGGGAGCGAAAACTGACATACACATAATCACTTGGAGGTCCGCGCGGACCTCCGAGTTTTTATATGTTTAGACAATTTGTTCGTTCCCCTAGAGAAGGCGAGCGAGCGAGCGAGCGAGCGTCCATCCGGCTCTACTGCGGGTAGAGCCGCGCCCGTTTGGGCGGGACGAGCAGAGCCGAGGAGGCGAAGGGAGAAACGAGAAGGCGAACGAGGGGACGAGGAGGCGAAGGGAACGAGGAAGAGGAGGCGAAGGGAGAAATCGAGAAAACATTATTTCTCCATGCGGGCTGTTCGGAGACGAGCCCGCGGCTCCGGGATACGCGCGCGCACCCCCTGTCTGCCGCCGGGCGCTTCTACGGAAAACAAAAGTTCAGCCCTCCCCTCCCCAGCCCGCCCACACACGCACTCGCCCACCTCCTCCTCCTCCTCCTCCTCCTCCCCCTCCTCATCATCATCATCATGATCATGATCATGATCACCATCACCATCACCATCATCATCATCATCATCATCATCATCATCATCATCATCATCATCATCATCATCATCATCATCATCATCATCATCATCATCATCATCATCATCATCATCATCATCATCATCATCATCATCATCATCATCATCATCATCATCATCATCATCATCATCATCATCATCATCATCATCATCATCATCATCATCATCATCATCATCATTATTATCATCATTCCCCTCGCTAACACTCCCCTTCGTCGTCCTCCTCCTCCCTCCTCCTTCTCCTCCTCATCTTTCCCGCGCTGCCGCTCCCCTTCCTCCTCCTCCTCCTCCTCCTCCTCCTCCTCCTCCTCCTCCTCCCCTTTTTCCGTCTAGATAACTTCTCCTGGTCGCACCCCGAGGCAAGTCTTTGGGGCGGGCCGGGCGTTTCGCCTGAGACTTCCTCACCATTCAGGACCCTGAAGCTTGAATATTGCGATGTGGCACTCGCCTTAGCGCCGCGCAC